TTAGCTCCACAGATCACAATCTGTTCCCTCTTTCCAGCCTACCTGCACCCTGCACTGAACACCACACCCCCAAATAGCACAGGCATGGCCTACTGGAACCTGCCATGCACTGATTCCTGGGCCACACTGTTGGCACTAGTACGTGCTACAAACAGCCCATCCCAGCAACTCCCCTTCAGCTGGACCTCCCTGCTGTACCAAACCTGAGCAAATGACCCTGCCCATTAGAGAAGGAGGTGAAAAGTATCGTGCCCACAGGCAAGCAAACAACAAAGAACACACAGCCCACCTGCTCAGACATAACCAAATAAAACAAAAAAGCAGGACGAAACCAACAAATCTACAATCAATAAGTGAGGAAAATTAACTACTGAATGTCCCGAAGACAGCAGTCAATATCAAAACATATTAAAAAAACAGGACAAGATGGTTCCAGTAGACATCCAAAATAAAACACCAGATGACTTTCCAGTAGAAACAAAGGCACTAGAACTACCTGATAGGGAATTCAAATCTCTAATATTCAAAGCTATCCAAGAGTTGAAGCAAAAAGCAGACAAAAATGAGGAAAAAATAGACAAACTCATGGAAAAGGAAGACAAATTCATGGAAAGTACAGACAAAAAAAAAAAAGGAAGAATTCAGGAAAATAATACAGGAACAAAATGCCAAAATAAATTCACAACTAGAAATCATACAAAAACAACAATTAGAAATCCAAAAGGTAAACAAGATTTCAGATATGGACAGTGTCATAGAAGGGCTGAGGAGGAGGTTTGAAATGATGGAAGACAGGATCAGTGAAAATGAAGACAAACACTTGGATACAACTCTGTTTGAGGACAAATCAGAAAAAGGACGAAGAAAAATGAAGAAACCCTGAGAATTATGTGCGATACAGTCAGAAGCAAAAATTTTCAAGTGATCAGACATTCAGAACAGGGAGAGAAAACAGAAAACACAGAGAGGAACACCGAAGAACTGCTAACAGAAAACTTCTCCAATATCATGAAAGATGAAAAGATGACCATCCAAGAAGCTCAATGAACCCAATATAGGATAGACCCCAAAAGAAAATCACCAAGGCATATAATAATCACACTCGCTAAAACCAAAGACAAAGAATCCCGAGAGCAGCTCGAGGAAAACAGAAAGTCACATACAGAGGAGAAACAATAAGACTAAGCTCAGATTATTTGGCAGAAACCATGCAGGCAAGAAGGCAATGCGATAACATATATAAAACCTTGAAAGAAAAAAATTGCCAGTGAATAATAATGTACCCTGCAAAACTCTCATTCAAATATGATGGTGAAATTAGGACATTTCCAGATAAACAGAAATTAAGGGACTATGTAAAAACCAAACCAAACTTGCAAGACT